TATTAACCATTACAGAAGCAAACTACCGGCCCCCATTAAAAACGACAAACAGAGAGAGAGAGAGAGAGAGAGAGAGAGAGAGAGAGAGAGAGAAACATATCAGCCGTATTGAAAAGTAAAAGATTTTTTCGAAAAAAAAATTTCTAATTTTAATTTTGAAAACCAAAAAACACAAAACAAACAAACATTTTTTTCCATTTGTCATTTGAACATTGTAAGTGAATGTTATGGCACATTTAATGAATGAATGAATGAAAACTGAATTTCAGAAGTGATGCTAATCATTTTGGGTTTTTCGGTTTGAGAATTGAATGTTTGTTTGTTTTTTGTTTTGTTTTGATGAATGAAGTTGACAATTTTGAAAAGAATCATATTCAAATCAATCAATAATTTCTTGTTTTTTTTCTTTCTTTTTCTTCCCGGAAAATTTACCGTTATTAGAATTCAATAATTTTGGAGAAAACAACAACAACAACAACAACGTTTCCATTGTCAATTTTTCTATTGAAAAACGAATTTGGGAAAAAGAAATATTGCTGCCTATAAAACTAAACAAATGAAAATCAAAATTTTTCTGCATTCGTTTAAATGATACTTTGTTTGGTCATTTAAAAAAAAAAATTGGATTTTTGATTTTTGATTTGTTATAACTACCATCAAAAACCAACCAACCAACCACCATCAACACACACACACAAACACCATTTATATTAATGAACTACTCAATGAGGACGGACGGCGATGTCCTTTAATAATTTTGGTCATCAATGCAGCAACAAAAATAATCCAAATCCGAATAGAAAAAATGGCAATAATAATAATAACAACAACAACACCGAAAATAATAGCAAAAATTATAATTATAAAAATTATTATCAAAATAATTTTAATCATAACAACAATAATAATAATAATAATGATTTTAATAATGAATTATTTACATCTGGATCATCATCATCATCGACTATTAATTCATTATCAACATCATCCTCCTCATCAACATCATCATTTTATAATAACCACCACCACCACCACCATAATAATAATGTTCAACGTTATCAACCATTGGGTAATCAAACAGCCAACAACAGTAACAATAAAAATCGATCATATTTTGATAATGATGATGATGAATTACGAAGAGTGTATATACGACCACCACCTAATCGTCATGCTTATGAAGCAATTTTATCCGATAATAATAATTATCGATCGAATAATAAAAAATTTCTATCATCAACGATTCAAAGTTCCTCACCATCACCATTTCAATCATCATCATCATTTAATACAACAGCAACAACAAAAAATAATGATAATAGTCAACATTCAAGCTCAAAATTTTCAATGTTTGGTAATAATTCTTCCGCCTCGACATCATCATCTGTATTATCCAAAAATTCATCATCGACATCATCGACAACAACATTATTACCATCACCAACATCATCTTCGTCATCATCATCATCATCATCATCATCATCTTCCAGATCCAAATGGTCAGCATCATTTTTATCAACACTTGGCAAAAGATGACATTTGAGATTTATTCGTATTGGTCACACAGCAAACATTATCGTGATTATTAAGTGATGTTCCACACACACAATATGTTCCACCTTGTTTTTTTCAGCCATATTTATTCAATGAAAAAAAAAATGATGACAATCATATATACAATGGACCATGATGTGATATTTAATTTTGGACGATTATTTATCAATTTTTTTTAAATATTTTATAAATAATGTAAATAATATTGATGATTATAAATTTGTAATGTAAAAAAAGAAAATTTATAATTAAAGAGAATCATGGAAGAATTGTCCATTCACCACCACCACCATCAACAACAATTTATCCACCAAATGAGCCAAAGATTTTCATATTTTTTTTTTTTTTCAAAAATTACTTCAAACACAAACAAACAAACAAAATTGGGTTTCTTTTTCCTTTTGTCTAATTTCTTATCAATGTCAAAAATGTTTGGCACATCATCCTTGAATTTATATTTTACTTTTTTCTTTCCAAACATCTTCTTCTTCTTTTTTCGAGGATAATCTTGTGTAAACACACACACAGAAACACACATTTGATTTTGTTCATTTCTTTTCTATTTAAATGCACACAGAATATGTTCATTCATCATTTGATTATTATTCTCAAATGATGTTTTTTTTTTGCTCTAATTATAATTATAATAATCAGAAATTTTTTTTTGCTAAAAAAATCTAAAAAATAAAAATTTATTTTTAAGAAATGAAATTTTTGCTTCGTTTTTTTTTGTTGGGAATTTTTCCCGGGAATTTCCCATTTTCGAAAGATTTTTTTCCCCTATATCATTTTCGTTGTTGTTGAATAAATAATTTTAAAAAGTAAGAGACAACGAAGATTCTATACATTAATTTTTTCAATTACAATCATCATCTACTGCAGTATCACTATTTTTAGATCAAATGAAAAAAAAAAGTAGTAATGAATTACATATGTATTTTGGAGGGGGAAAAAGACATTTGGGGATTACATTTTTGATGCACGCGTTACTTTTCTAAGTAATTTTGTTGTTGAAAATATAAAAAAATATCCAAATCCTCATCATCATCATCATCATCATCATCATGATAAAGGGGATTTTTATAAAAGTAAATTATTATTATTATAATGATGATGATGATGATAATGGGAATATTAATAATAATAATAATAATAATGATGTGGCTGTTTTTTTGAAATTCTGTTTCTGTCATCTTCTGTAGTTTGTTTGGTTCATTATTTTGTTTCGTTTGATAAAGGGGGGAGAAGAGGATGGTTAAGTCGAAATGGGGTAGGAAGGACAAAGGACAGAAAGATGTTAAAGGATTAAAAAGTGTAAATCAACTGATAACCACCACCTACAACCACCGATAAAACACACATCTAAACAACCTTGGAATATATAGTAGTCGTTGTTTTTTTTTGTCTGGTTATTATTATTATTATCCTAATCATCATCATCATAATCTAAACAAACATTATGGCGAATTTTTTCTCTCTATAGACAACATCAACTAAAACAACGAGATGTAATGATGGCAGCAATGAAATAAAAAAAAAGTAGACGAAAGGGTTAATATTATACAATAATCTATGTTTGTGTATAGACATTATTCTAGTGAACAACAACATTGAAATTGAAAAATTTTTTTCAAAAATTTCAAAATCTTTTTAAAACACTGTCGAATAACCGGCAATGCCGGTCGATTGTTATCATCATCATTGGTTACATCGTCGGCATCAAATTCTCAAATGGCAATGAAATTGAGAAACCAAACGAATTGAAAGAAAAAGAAAGAGTGAATTTCAAATGAGAGAAAATAAAGGGAAAAAATCAAACTTTCAATGGAAGAATAGAGAAGCAAAACAAAACAAACAAAAATCAGACCTAAAAATATAACTGAACGGGTGAAGAAAAGCTTCCATTCCTTTTTCATTGGAAATTCATTTTTTATTTATTTATTTCAGGTTTTCAATTTCATTTAAATATTGATTTTGTTTGCACATTGCTGCTCGGCTCGAAAACATCCTGAATTGAAATTCCTGTGAATTTACTGAAAAAGAAATCGAAAAAAATCATCAATTTTTTTTCGTTCTTTGCCCCTTGTACTACTATATAGACATCCTTGAAGAAACAAAAAAAAACATTCTACTTCTACATACCAGTGGATTCTTCTTTTAGTCATCAATAACTGAATGCAAACCAAAATGCAAGTGATTAGATCATTATGCACTCATTATCGATGCTACCGACGAAGGAGAAAAAATGGAGAAAAATAAAAATCAACCACGGAGAATGCCACTGATGAAGGAAGAATGAAAAGATAAATTTATAAGTAACAAAAACAACAACAAAAATCAAATAAGGATACATTTTGCTACATTGTTTCATAGAAGAATCAATGGTTGCCCCTTATCTCGTTAATATCATAATCATGAATGATCGTTCTTTGTTTTTTTTTGCTTTTTGCTTTCAATCCTTTTTTTTCCACTGAAATTATAATGAAATTCATCAGATGATATGATGAGATTTTCGGAATAAATTTTCATTCATTGAATATTCAATATTTTTTTTTTAATGATCATCATTAAAACACACATGACCATACTGGATGATGAAATATATGCATAATAATGAATTGAAAACCAAGTTGATTGCAAAAACAACAACTTCAAAAAATGAATCGAAACTAGAAAATGAGTTTTTCTATAGGAAGCGAACAAAAAAATAACGGCAAATTCCATTAAAATTATTGAATAATAATCAGTGATTATCAATCATTTTGACACGACCATCATCACATTTTTTTTCTGTTGAAAAATAACTCTTTGAATACTTGATGATGATGATGATGGTTAAAAATCATCAGTTTTATCAGTTTGCCAGAAGAAATTTTCTTCTTTCAATAAGACCAAGTGACAATGATCCACCCAGAAACAACAACAACAAAAATCATCATTGGAATTTTTTTCATCAACAGGTGCATTTTGTAGCTGCTGTTCGAAATGAATGACAAAAAAAGAAAAGAAAAAAGAATAAAAACTAATTTCAATTTCTAAAATCACATTATCTGCATTCATCATCATTATCATCATCCAGTGAATTTGTTTCAAGGATAATTTTATTTCAATAAATAAGATATGCTGAATGGCCTAACAGTTAATTTTCGAAAATGCATTTTTTATGCATAAATTATTTACAATCCTTTGATGACAAAAAATTAAACAGAAGAAAAAACATTTCGATATCGATTTTTTTTCGTAACTTTTCAACCATTCATTTATTGACCATGGAATGTCAAGAAAAAAACTTGAACAAAAAAAAACAGAAAAAATATCGCCATTTGAAATGGAGAAAAACAAACACCAAATCAATATAGGGGGAACTTTTTTTTATTAATTTCTTCCAACAAACAAATCGACATGAAAAAACATAAAATAAAAAAAATTGAAATAAAATTATTATTTTAAGTGGTCAGAAGGGAAGAAAGGGTTGAAAAAATGAAAGAAGAAAGAATCACAAAATTATTTTAATTGATTTGATTGGATTTTTGTAAATATAAAGCATAAAGAACCTGTTGAACATGTACACGATTATTCCAATCGATTATATATTGTTGATTATTTAATATTGATAATAATCGATATTTAAAATCAATGGACATAAATTTATCAAAATAATTTTGATATTCAAATGAACATAATAAATTTAATGTTGTATGTACTAATTCAGCATTTAATGATTGTAGATTTTTTATTAAAAATGGCATTATTAATGGTATGATTTTTGAAAAAATTCTTTCTGAATCGTTGTTGCTATTAATGTTGGAGCCATCATCATTATTATTGATGGTCAACAATAATAAATTCAATACCTGTTTCAATTCGGCCAATATTAACATTGATATTGTTGTATGTAATGATGATGATGATGATAAATTTCGCCAACTAAACAAACGACGAATAAAATCAATAATTTCATTTGGATATTTAGTCATAAATTTTATCGTACAAGTAAATAATGGTATATAATAATAATAAAGATATGGTAAACGATGTAATGATAATAATAATGATTTGATTGCATTCATTTGAAATGGTCGTTGTTGTTGTTGTTTGGCAATTAAATCTGAATTTGAACGATCTCGATTCAACATTAATCGATAAATATACAGTAAATTTTCTAAATGAATATGTACTTTTTCGATTGAATCATATGAAATAATATCATTCAATTTTTGTATAATGATTTTATCGATAATATTACGTCTTGTCGGTATATATTGATAAATCAAACAAACAATAGATGAAATATGATTTCGTTCAGTTTCATCATCACTATGTATCAATTCCAATAATTGTTGAACGAATAAATCATCAAAAATCGTTCGTGTATATTCGAAATCTTTTTTGAAAAATTGTATTGAAAGATTCAATATTTTATATACAATATTCAAATGATCATTTAAATCTGATGTAGAATTATATTTTTCAAATACATGTCCATAATTGATTAATTCATTTTGTAATTTGGATGGTCCTAATGAACGAAATAAATTCATTTTAATTATATCCATTATATCGGGGAAAAGATATTTAATATTTATATTTTCTTCAACAGTATCTTCAGTCATAAATAGATCACAAATTAATTCAAGTTTTTTATATTTTTCCAATTTTTCCATTAAATTATTATCATTGGTAAAATCGTAAATTTTCATGCAAATATTTTTAAAATTGTTATCCATTTCTTTTGTTGATCAAATTGAATTCAAAAGAAAAAATTGAAAAATAACAAAAACAAAAAAAAACCGTTGAATTTTGAAAAATTTCAAAAACAATCGAAGCAAAAACAAAACATGATCAAGCCATCAATATAGTACGTAACCGCGTTTTGACGACCATCTAGTGTTGAAGAATCAAACTAAATAATTTCATTGGATTCTGGAATTCTGAATTTTTTGATTTTTTTTGGAATTTTAATCACAAGAAAAAAAAGAAAAATGAACTGCCATAATCAATCATCCAGGAATAATAGCAACACAGCATGATATATTAGTAAATTAAAAATCATTACGCCTTGCTAATAATAATCAGAATAATAATTCCCGGATCAATTGACAAACCAAGAGAAAAAGAGAAAAGAAAGGGAAAAACGAAATTAACTTGATCGAATGAATCCAGTAAAATAATAATAATAATCCTTTTTTTTGAAAATACTAATCAGGAACTGATAAAATTCATTTAGATTATAAAAAAAATCTAATTATTATTCCCTTTATGATTATTATTGTTGTTGTTGTTTTTCTGTTTTTTTTCTGGTTCTTGGTGTTCCTGATTCAATTTCCTCAATTCGTTTTGATTTTGCGTTTTTTTTTTGGTCTGGTTCCAAAAAAAGCAAAATTTTGCTTGGAAATTTTTTTTGTTGTTTTTTGTTTTTCTCCTTTGTCTAATTCCATTAGATTCAAACAGAAAAAACAATCGAAACAGTGCAATAATAATTTAGAAACCAGCGAGAAGAAGAAGAAGAAGAAAATCGATTTTATTTCGAGAAAAAAAAGGTAGAATTATGAGCAAGCAATAACAACAAAAACAACAGTGGAAACTATCAATTGGATTCAGCATTGATGGTCATTATAGGAGAAAAACGAAACGAAAAAAGGCCAAAAACAAAACAAGAATCTTTTCGAATCATTACTCATTGCACATCACATTTCTTTCTATCTGTCTATCTCTGAGAAAATGAATTTGGTAAACTAGAAAAAAATTAAGTCAAACCAAGTCAATCAATCTGATGAATGAATGAAACAAATACAGAATAAGTATAGTGAAAATGACCGACCAAAAAAAAGAAGAGAATCTTGGATACCAACGAAAGAAAGAAAGAAAGAAGAAAATTATGATAAGAATTGTTACCCAGAAAAACTAGAAAAAACTAACAACATCCATCCTCATTGGCGTTGGCGTGGACCAAAGAAAAAGAAAGAAAAAAAATCCAGAATCCAGACCCAATATATAATATTCTCCAAAAAAAAACCAATCGACTCTCGAATGAATGAGTGAGAATCCTATGAACTCTCTCTCTCTCATTCTCTCATTCTAGATTCTGTATGATGTGATTCTGTAGTTGGCCGTTATTGTTGTTGTTGTTTCCTATTACACTTTTTTTTGCCTATCAAAAGAATCGTTATACAATAAATTCTGTTTCTTGATCTCTGTCTCTGTCTCTGTGTATGTGCAAGTTTGATGATGGTGGCAGCCACCAAAAAAAAAAAAAAATAAAGAAAAAGATGCTGGCTTTTTCCCTTATCAAGAATGATGATGATGATGTTCTCAGGGTTTTTTTTTCTCTTCCCAATTCGAAGGAAACAAAACAACAACAGCGAATAATTATTTGTATCGTTTGATGTGTATCGAAGAATATGAACCATCACCATCATCATCAAACTTATAACCAAAGATTCAAGTATGGAACAACCGAACAAAAAAAAAACAAAGAGTTCAGAACAGTGGATTCAATTCAATTCCATTCCTTCATACAACGAATAAAATACTGCATCAAAAATAAAAAAAAAAGCAAAAACAAATTTTAGATCGATAAGATTTTGGGCTGTTTGGCGTCTTTATTGGCCCGTCGATTTTCTTTTTTTTTCATTTTTCTCTTTGGTCCTTCATCATTTCATTCTTCTTGATCGGGAAAAACACATTTTTTTCCATTCAAAAACAACAACGAAGACTTGACTAGAAACAATGGAAAAATTTGAATCGATTTTTCTAATTTTGAAAATTCTTTCTTTTTTCTTTCCATAAAATTCTGTTATGTAATTTTCAAAAAAACAAAACAAAATCCGACCGATAGAGGGCATTGATATTTTCATTTCATTTCTCTTTTGAAGAAAAAGCTTGTCAAAAAAAACTGAATGAATACAGGAATATCATCAAGTCCAACCAAACAAACAAACAAACGAAGAAACAACACTAAACCTGAACCGAAAAAACATAAACATTATTGGAGTGTCCAAGATGTATGGGGAGCTCAAGCTCGATATGTTTGTTTGTTTGTGTGTTTATTTTTGGAAAGAAAGAAAAGCTGTCTGCATGGATCTTTTTTTTATATGATTTTTCGGTTGTTTGATAATGAAAAAAAGAAAGAAAATATTGCTATCATTGAATGGATGGATGATAAACAATTTTTCTTGCTTCTTTCGAGTCGTATATTTTGGCCATTAGCCTTTGTTTTTCGAATGTGGATTTTTTTTTTTTTTTTGCAGATTTTCTGCTGATGGTTGAGCAGCATGCTTGAAATCAAAAAAAATCACCTTCGTCATTGTCATTTGATTTTGATTTTTGATTTTGTAAATTGAAAAATCGATTGTTTTTTTTCTCTCTCTCTTCTGAAGAATGTTTTTGTTGTTTTTCTAGCAAAAAACATTTTCCCAATTAACATCAATTTAATCGAATGAAATATATGTCAATCAATCAATCAATCAATCAATTGATTTTGTTTAAATGACAAAAACAAAAATTTCATTAACAAAAAAAAAACCCGGTGTTTTGTCAAACTTGAATCCAATCCATTATTCTTGTTTTTTCAACGTCAAATTTGTTTTATAATCATCCACCGCCGCCAACCGACCGATTCTTGATTCTTGATTCTTTCGTTTCTTTGGTTGTCTTCCCTCCTTCACAATTTTCGTAATTCAATTTTCCATCCATCCATCCATCCATCCACTGCCATCATCAATTAAAGATCAAAGGTTACTTATAATCGTTTTAATCGTCGAATGATTGATCGATTCTTCGATTCTTGGTGATTAATAATTTTTTGGCCATTTTTCCATTTTGAAAAATTATTATTTTTAAAAATTTCATTGGAAATTTCGAACAAAAATCAGCAGCAGCAAAAAAAATCATGAGCCGTTTTACAGTTAGTCGTAGTATGCCGGAAGATAGTTTGGCAATTGTTAATGAAATTGAAAATAATGTTGATGATGATGATGATGATATGGTCGCCAACAACAATAGTGGTGGTGGTGGTGGTGACACTGTCAATGATTATTTGTTTGATAATATTGGTTCATCGTCCGTTAAAACATCATCGCCAACAAGACAACAATCAACGTCATCAGCAATATCATCATCATCGGCGACGAAGACGACGATGAACAACAACAGCAACAGAAATAATCAATCAATAATCAATATTGAACAAAATATCAATCATGAATCAACAGAATTATTACCAAATGTTGATATTAAATCATCAACATCACCATTATCATCAACATCATCGACAACAACAAAAATGAAACAACGTACAACAAAAATGTTTAAAAGATATGGTTCAACCACCACCACCACCACTACAACGAATGGTATGTATCATTTAAAGATTTGAATCAAAAAAAAGTTTTCAATCGATTCGATACACACGATATTCGAATTTTGTAAAATATGTAAAAAAAGTTTTTTTTTGTGGGTAATTTCAAATGCAAATTCCAAAAAGAAAGAGAGAATGTTTTCAAATGAAACTTTTTCATTCATTCATTCATTCATTCAATGAAATGAATGTCTCTATGGAGATTCATTCATTTTCTTGCTGAATAATAACATCCAAATGAGAATTTTATGTTTGGTTTTAGTTTGGTTTTGGTTTTCTAATTAATCAAATTATGTAATATTATTTTCCGATTTTTTTTTTGTAATTTTTTTGGTAATTCTATTTATAATTTTAAACATTTCTCTTCACTGTGTTCAGAGTTGCTTTAGTTTGCTTTGGTTATTTTGTAACAATAATAATAACGATAATGGAAAATGAACAGAATTCGAGATTCTTCTGCTTCTGCTTCTTTGTCTGCTGGATGATATTCAATTCAATTTAATCATTTTAATGGTCGATTGAGAATAGCTAGCTAGAAACAAGAAACAAACACAAAGAGAGACCGAATGAAATGTCCGAACAAAAAACGAAAAAACCGAAAATGTTCAATTTGATAATCAAGCAAGCAAGCAAAGAAAACATGACCGAAAGAAAGTTTTTTCTCTCTCTCTCTCGGTTTGTTTGATTGATCAATTGGCTTGGTGGTCAATATGATGATGATGATCGACTTTAATTAGTGAATATAGGCCTGAAGTTGGTTTGGTTTGGTTTTTTCGATTGATTCTTTGGCTGAAAAATATAAAATGTTCAGGGCGAAATCCAATTTACAGAAAAAGAAGAAAAAGAAAAAATCCAATTTGTAATTTGGAAAACAAAACACACAATTTCGATTCTCTCTATGCCCTTGATTTGTGGATTTTAGTAGAAAAAAAAGAAATTCATTCTGAAAGAAAATTCTGTATTTTTCAGACCAACAAACAGAATATTCTTGATCTTTTTTCTTTTCTGTTATTTTTCCTTCAAGTTTTTTTCATTGTTCCGGATACCGAAATGGACTGTTATTGAAAATGGAAATTTCTTTCTTTTTTTCTTCAGTTTCATTCGGGTGATAATTACCATTCTAACATCATCATCATCATCATTATGATGTCGGATTGTATTTTTCTGCAAAGAAAAAAAACCAGACAAAAAGTAACGAAATAAGATTCATTCTATGAATGAATGAATGAATTGAGAAAAAAAAGTACTGCATTCGAAATCATAATGATCAATGTCTCTTTGTGTGTGTATGTCTGTCTATGAAATATTGGTAAAAAAAAATGAAAATGAAAAAATATTCTTCTGACATAGTGGTAATAACCAACTTTTTTTTCTCTTGAAAAAAAAAGAGATTCGATGCTAAGTTGATCGAGTTTTTTTTTCTTCAGTTTTTTA